CCGTCGGTATGAGCTGACCACTCAAACTTTGCTGACATCGGAAAAATCGGATTTCCGTCGTTATTCCGTCGGAAAGTCGTCGAAAATTACGACAGCTTATTTCCGTCGGAAATTCGTCGTCTTGTTCCGACGGAATACCGACGGTTTCTGTGTCCGTCGGAAATCCGTCACAATAAACCGACGGATTTCCGACGGATTTATTTTGCTCGGAAATCCGTCGGGATGCCGTCGGAAATTTCCGACGGAAATTACGTCCGTCGGAAATTCCGTCGGAATAATGCTTGTTTTCTTGTAGTGATTGGAGAATCGGCTTTGTTGCCAAGAGTCCAATCACCGGCTACAAAATCTCTCTCCATACGATAAAATCTCGGCTCCTTCATGGTGACGAGGTTATCTCCGAGTTCTCTCCGTCGTTGGATATTTTCGGACAACTTTTTACTTCCGATGAGTCGGTCAAATTCAAGAACGTGGTGAAGCCGGGAATTATCGGCGGCGTGGTTTGGAATTTTGGAGTTGAGATTGTCTCCAGAGTGAAGAGAGATAATAAAGATGGTTTCTTGATCGTGTTTTGCGGCAACTTGCCGGTTAAATCTACGGCGGATCCGGCGGGAAATATGGTTGGATCGTTGGTTGGAAATATGAGAAGGTGTCACTATTCATTCCGGGATAAACTGAATCCGTGCGCCTTTAATTCTTCTTATTCTCTCCCATAATAATGAGTCGTCTATGATTTTTGTTTTTTTTTTTGGCGTGAAACCTATAATATCAAATATAATCACTATTATTGTACAACAGAAACACAACAACATAAGCAAACCAACACTCACTCCACACTGAAACAATGAGATTAACACAACACACAACACAATCATAATTACACTATTGCACAAAAAGGACTCAACCTTGTGCAAGTTTAGGATTTAGCCCTCTTGCCTTCCTCGTCTTCCCTACGAACAGATCTTTGGACTTGATCAAACCAGGGAGGCATCCCACGACTGTCACAAATGGAAACTGAGCCACAGAGTCCTTTCTTCCTAATGAGACAATTGCAATCTCTGGTCCGGGCTTGTAAGTCGACATCTTCTTCTTTTTCCTACCCGACATCATTACCTTTATGTTCTTCACAACCACATTAGCATGACTCTCCGCAATATATCCTTGCTTCATCTCCTGTCATTAGAAGGAAGTCATATAATCAAAACAAGATACTAACCAAGAATACTATCTAAAAACTCGTTATTTCTCACTATCATGCACTTACCGGGATATTAGTGATATCTCCAATGGCGAATACATTATTACGATCTTTAATCCGCAAGTGCTCGTCAACCATGACCCTTCCTTTACCATCCAAGCTATCTTTCAGAACAGTTCCATTGAGCCATTGAGAAGACAGAGGTTTCCCGACACAGAGGAAATGACAATCTGCATGTATAGTTTCTCCTCCTGAAGTCCTGTATGTTTTGTTTCCGTCTGAAGCTGAATTTAAATCCACAGTTTGGTTCAATATCACTTCCACTTTCTTTGATTTTAACCAGTCAAATGCTTTGTCAGCAGCTTTCTGTCCAACAAATTCAAGCAATCTCGGTCCTTTGTGCACCAGAGTAACCTTCTTCTCCGGGAAATCAACCGCGATTTCTGCAGAAAGCTCCACACCAGACGGTCCTCCACCAACAATCAAAACCGATTCAGAAGCTTTTATCTTCTCATATTCTGCAAACCAAATGTATCATGTCTCAATCATTTGTGATGCTAAATAAACCAGAATGTAGATCATACCTGCTTGGTATTGTGATAGCTTCTCTTGTCTGGTTTTGGGGTACAAGTCGTTGTGACCTGTAGCAATGACTAGATAGTCATATCCAATCACAGCTCCATCTCCAGTGATTACATCAGTCTCTGTGATATCGATCGCCGGAGAAGTAACAACACGGCCGTTTTTCAAGTAGCTTTTGTGGTTGATTACTGTTCTCTCTGCAAAAGAAGGCTCTACCATAGATCTCAAGCTTGCCCATGTAATCTCAAAGTACTCCTTCCTGATTTTTAACGAAAATTTCAACACAATAATTAAGCTCGTGATGATCTTGAGATTAAAATGGTGGTGTTAAGAAACTTACGGATCGATGAGGGTAACGTCAGCATCGAACTGAAGCAACTTCGCGGCGAGAGAGCCGGCGATTCCTCCGCCGATCACAACAACCCTCCGTCCTTGTCTAGACGCAGATTGAAACCCTTCCATTTTAGTGATTCAATTAAGCGAACTAATTGAATGTTATTCTTCGTTAGGT